TACGCTAACATACACAGTACGCTGAACAAAGACCTAGAACGAAAGTCGTACAGCGATATGTAGCGCGGCATGTGTTGTAGGGACAGAACGTCGTAGGATCAACATACTCTACAAACAGAGATAAAATCCAGAAGCGCAACACAGCGAGAATTATAATCTGACTTTTACGCCTTCATAACAGATTAATGGAGATGAGGCAGTTTTACAATCAAAGAGAACAAGTTTATTTTGAAACAAAGCGTATGGTTGCAGTTTGGTGATAAACTTGGAAAATACTTGGAGAACGTTACATATAACTTGGTTGCGATACAGTTCAGTCTTCTGATGTTACAACTTATAAATAACCTTTGCTGTGGTGAAGCACTTTATTAAACAATGGTTCCTGAGGTGAATAGTCTTCCTGTTTGACCCTTCCGTGATCAAACCTCAGATCTCTAGTTCACTTTTAACTAGTGATCTAAACAAGCTTCTATTAGTCTTCTCTAACTAATAAAACTAATAAGGTTTCCCCTTCAGCCTTCCCAAACTGAAGAAACCTCCGACTATTCACAAACACTGCTTCTCTACTTCCCACTCTCTCTCTCTTTCAACTCTTCACTTCCCTGAGCCTAAACCTAACTCTTCATTCCTCTGAGCCTCAACCCTGACTCTTCATGACTCTTCACTCCTCTGAGCATAAAACCTAACTAACTTTTTAACTGTCGCTTTTCAAAACTCCCCTCTCTAAGCTCCTCCCACTTCTCTACAGCATTGTTTCCATGGTAACACACTCCTCACAGCTAGGCCGCTCCAGCATTAGCATTGTTTCCATGGTAACACACTCCTCACAGCTAGGCCGCTCCAGCATTAGGACAACCAGTACAAACACAAATACAGTTATAATAATATCATTTACAATCAATACAGTTTATAATCATATCATTTACAATCAACTTCTGTACACCTCCCAATGCAAATGATATAATTATATATATTTTTTTATATATATTATATTACATGTGATATTACTAATATAGAATTATAATATCATATTGGGGGAACCCTCCCAATGCAAATGATAGAACTATATTATATATATATTATATTACATGTGATATTACTAATATATAATTATAATATCATATTGGGGGAACCCTTCCAATGCAAATGATAGAACTATATTATATATATATTATATTACATGTGATATTACTAATATATAATTATAATATCATATTGGGGGAACCCTTCCAATGCAAATGATAGAACTATATTATATATATATTATATTACATGTGATATTACTAATATATAATTATAATATCATATTGGGGGAACCCTTCCAATGCAAATGATAGAACTATATTATATATATATTATATTACATGTGATATTACTAATATATAATTATAATATCATATTGGGGGAACCCTTCCAATGCAAATGATAGAACTATATTATATATATATTATATTACATGTGATATTACTAATATATAATTATAATATCATATTGGGGGAACCCTTCCAATGCAAATGATATATATATATATATATATATATATATATATATATATAATGAAATATATAAAATATATAATTATAACATCATATTATTAGTAGTATTATATTGTATTACATCATAATATACTAACACCAACAACAATATATTGTACTATACCATTATACTATAATATTATTAGTAATATTACATGTAATATAAAATATATAATTATAATATCATATTATTATTAGTAGTAATATTACATGTAATATAAAATATATAATTATGCTATCATACTGTAGTATTATATTGAATTACATTATAATACAATATATATACTCAGACATAAGCCAAAGCAAAGGGTTCCTGATGCCTTGATTGGCCAGGAAAGACAATTCATTCATTCACGCTGCTGTTTCCAAGGCAGCCGGTAGGTGGCAATAAAGAGCGTGGGAAGAGCGCCGCCAAGCGCATGCGCAGCCTCTCCAGCGAGGAGACTAAAAGGAGGCGTGGCTTAAAGAGCGGAGGCGGGTCCCGCTCAGCGGAGAGGAGGCGTCCCTTCGCGGCTTCCGTAGCTTCCTTCCTTCCGCTTCCAAGATGGCGAGCGCGGCCAAGCGGGCCAAGATGGCGTCCGGAGAAGGAGCCCTGGCCGCCTTCCTGGCCTGGGCCGAGCGGGAGGGCCTCCGGGTCAGCCCCAAGGTGCGGGACCCTCCCTGGGCGGCCTTTTGTGTACACACTCGCCCGGCTTAATTGAAAAAGTGTGTGAATTGTCCAAAACGCATCAGGTTGTGGGTGAACTACAACTCACCATAGTGGGAGTTGTAGCTCACCCTGTGGCCAGGCCCCTCCAACCACTCCAGTAGGTAGAATTGGTCCTGGGGGTTCTGTGTGCCAAGTTTGGTCCAAATCCATCATCCACAGAGGTCCCTTTCTCTGGTTGTGGGTGAACTACAACTCCCACTATGGTGGGCCAGGCCCCTCAAACCCCCTCCAGTAGGTAGAATTAGTCCTGGGGGTTCTGTGTGCCAACTCCATCATCCACAGAGGTCCCTTTCTCTGCTTGAGGGTGAACTACAACTCTATTTATTTGTTTATGACATTTATATGCTGCCCTTCTCACCCAAAGGGTGAACTACAACTCCCACTGTGGTGAGCCAGGCCCCTCAAACTCTCTCCAGTAGTTAGAGTTAGCCCCGGGGGTTCTGAGTACCAAGTTTGGTCCAAATCCATCATCCACAGAGGTCCCTTTCTCTGGTTGTGGGTGAACTACAACTCTATTTATTTGTTTACGACGTTGATATGCCGCCCTTCTCACCCCAAAGAGTGAACTACAACTCCCCCTATGGTGAGCCAGGCCCCTCAAACCTCCTCCAGTAAGTAGAATTGGTCCTGGGGGTTCTGTGTGCCAAGTTTGGTCCAAATCCATTATCCACAGAGGTCACATTCTCTGGTTGTGGGTGAACTACAACTCCCACTATGGTGAGCCAGGCCCCTCAAACTCTCTCCAGTAAGTAGAATTAGTCCTGGGGGTTCTGAGTGCCAAGGCCATCATCCACAGAGGTCCCTTTCTCTGGTTGTGGGTGAACTACAACTCCCACTATGGTGGGCCAGGCCCCTCAAACCCCCTCCAGAAGGTAGAATTAGTCCTGGGGGTTCTGTGTGCCAACTACATCATCCACAGAGGTCCCTTTCTCTGGTTGAGGGTGAACTACAACTCTATTTATTTGTTTATGACATTTATATGCTGCCCTTCTCACCCAAGTGGGTGAACTACAACTCCCACTATGGTGAGCCAGGCCCCTCAAACTCTCTCCAGTAAGTAGAATTAGTCCTGGGGGTTCTGAGTGCCAAGGCCATCATCCACAGAGGTCCCTTTCTCTGGTTGTGGGTGAACTACAACTCCCACTATGGTGGGCCAGGCCCCTCAAACCCCCTCCAGTAAGTAGAATTAGTCCTGGGGGTTCTGTGTGCCAAATTTGGTCCAAATCCATCATCCACAGAGGTCACATTCTCTGGTTGTGGGTGAACTACAACTCTATTGATATGCCGCCCTTCTCACCCCGAAGGGTGAACTACAACTCCCACTATGGTGAGCCAGGCCCCTCAAACCCTCTCCAGTAAGTAGAATTAGTCCTGGGGGTTCTGTGTGCCAAATTTGGTCCAAATCCATCATCCACAGAGGTCACATTCTCTGGTTGTGGGTGAACTACAACTCTATTGATATGCCGCCCTTCTCACTTCGAAGGGTGAACTACAACTCCCAGTGTGGTGAGCCAGGCCCCTCAAACCCCTCCAGTAGTGGTGAGCTTGCGTTTGGAAGTTGTAGTTCACCTTCATCCAGAGAGCACTGTGAACTCAAACAATGATGGATCTGGACCAAACTTGGCACAAGTGCTCCAATATGCCCAAATATGAACACAGAGGGAGTTTGGGGGAAATAGACCTTGACATTTGGGAGTTGTAGTCTGGGATTTAGTTCACCTACAATCAAAGAGCATTCTGAACCCCACAAATTACAGAATTGGACCAATCGTGGCACATAGGATCCCATGACCAACAGAAAATGCTTAAAGCCATTCAGTCCAACTCCCTTCACCAGGGCAAGAAAACGTAATCAAAGCCCTCCTGACAGAGAGCCACCCAGCCATAGAGATAGATTGATATGATTCACACACACACACATACTATCCTAGATTTGAAAGGGACCCCTAAAGAAGGACAATTTGCATGTTGCATGTTCCAGAGTAGGCAAACCAGACACTCTCCACATCAACATCGACAAAGAAACAAGATATACTGTTGACCCACAAGCATAACGACATCACATATATTAGAAACCAACACTTTCTCAATATTTTATTTTCCAGATCACCAGACTGGGCCACAGCAACGCCTGGCAGGGGACAGCTAGTATATATATATATATATATATATTAGCCGTCCCTTGCCAGGCGTTGCTGTGGCCCAGTCTGATCTGGAAAATAAAGTAATGAGAAAGTGTTGGTTTCTAATATATGTAATTTCTTTGTGCTTGTGGGTAAACAGTATTTCTTGCTGTTTCTTTGTCAGTGTTGATGTGGAGAGTGTCTGGTTTGCCCACCCTGGAACATGCAATATCATTGTCCTTCTTTAAGGGTCCCTTTCAAATCTATGATACTATATCTCTGCGTGTGTGAATCTCTCTCTCTCTCTCTATCTATCTATCTCTATGGCTGGATGGCTCTCTGTCAGGAGGACTTTGTTTACGTTTTCTTGCCCTGGTGAAGAGAGTTGGACTGGGTGGCCTTAAGTATTTTCTGTTGGTCATGGGGGATTCTGTGTGGGAAGTTTGGCCCAATTCTATCGTTTGTGGGGTTCAGAGTGCTCTTTGATTGTAGGTGAACTATAAATCCCAGTAACTACAACTCCCAAAATGTCAAGGTCTATTTCCCCCAAACTCCATCTGTGTTTATATTTGGGCATATTGAGTATTTGTGCCAAGTTGGGTCCAGATCCATCATTGTTTGAGTCCACAGTGCTCTCTGGATGTAGGTGAACTACAACTCCCAAACTCCAGCTCAATGCCCACCAAACCCTTCCAGTATTTTCTGTTGGTTATGAGTTCTGTGTGCGAAGTTTGGCCCAATTCTATCGTTGGTGGGGCTCTGAATGCTCTTTTATTGTAGGTGCAACTACAACTCCCCTACAACTCCAAAACTCAAGGTCAATGGTCACCAAACAATCCCAGTACTTTTGTTGGTCAGGGGAGTTCTGTGTGCCAAGTTTGGTTCAATTCCATTGTTGAAGTTCAGAATGCTCTTTGATTGTAGGTGAACTATAAATCCCAGCAACTACAACTCCCAAATGACAAAAATCAATATTTTTGAGTGAAGAACATACATTGTGTTGTTAGGTGTCTTGTGTCCAAATTTGGTGTCAATTCGTCCTGTGGTTTTTGAGTTCTGTTCATCCCACAAACGAACATTACATTTATATTTATATAGATATGTATATTATTATTATAATTAATGATATATTCTTATGTTTGCAGGTTTGTGTGAGCAGAGAGGGCACCGTGGCGGATTACGGCCTGCTGGCGCGAGAGGACCTTGAGGCGGGAGAAGTCCTGTTCTCGGTCCCGCGGACAGCCCTCCTTTCCCAGCACACCAGCCCCTTGGCCCCCCTCCTGCAGAAAGGTACGCAGAGCAGGGGCAAATTTGACTAATTTACGAGGCCATAAAAATCTCCAGCAAGCATGCAAAGAATGAGGAAGTACTTCATCAGTGTCAGAAATGGTCAGTGAAGGGACAGCTCCCCAGGTGGCCAGAATACCCTCAAGAAAAGCTGGAATGTTAAATAGCCTCTGTGTGTCTGTCTATATATGTTGTGTGTCTATGGCAGTGATGGGCAATCTTTTGAGCTTGGTGTGTCAAAATTTGCCAAAAACTTGAGCATAATTTGGGTGGAGTGTCACTTTGAGAAAAAAACCATAATTTTGCAATATTTATAGTTTAAATAAGAAAAAAAATGTATAATCCATGCTGAGTTATGGAGTGAACTATGCTCAAATGTGCAGATGTTAAATTTAAAGATGGAATTAGATTGGCTTTTATAAGGTGTATTTCTCTGTATGTGGCCGCATGCGTCTGCGTGTCATCAAAAATAGCCATGTGTGTCAGTGCTGACACGCGTGTCATAGGTTCACCATCAGGGGTCTATGGCATTGAATGTTTGCCATGTATATGTACATTGTCCCCTGTGGGGTGAGAAGGGCGGAATATAAATATTGCAAATAAATAAATAAATTCCTGCAGCAAACAGCCTTCATCACTCTTCACGTGTTTCAGTCCTTTCCGATTTGCAGTGAAAAGAACTGTATACAGGCTGTTCTCGAAGGAAAGCTTTCATGGGTTGCTGTGAGTTTTCTGGGCTGTCTGGCTGTGTTCCAGAAGCATTCTCTCCTGACATTTCACCCACATCTATTTATTATTTATTTCATGTACTTCTAACCCGCCCTTCTCAACCCCCGAGGGAGGACTCAGGGCGGCTTACACAAGGCACAATTCGATGCCAACATAAACATAAACAATGGATAAAACAAGTATATAGCAATTATAACAATTAAACAGTCACTTTATACAACAAAATCAATAAAACCAGTCAGTACTCAGCGTTCACCATCTCAGAGTCCATAAATTCATTCCATATTGTCTAGTCATCATTGTCCTTGTCTAATTGCCAGATTGCCCGAAAGCCTGGTCCCACAACCATGTTTTTAATTTCCTTCTGAAGGAGAGGAGGGATGTCGATGACCTGATTTCCCCGGGGAGTGAATTCCACAGGCGGGGGGCCACTGCCGAGAAGGTCCTGCTCCTCATCCTCACCAACCTCACTTGTGATAGCGGTGGGATCGAGAGCAGGGCCTCCCCAGAAGATCTCAAACTCCGAGGTGGGACGTAGAGAGAGATGCGTTCGGACATATACGCTGGGCCGGAGCCGTATAGGGTTTTGTAGGTCAAGACCAGCACTTTGAATTGTGCTCGGAACTGGATCGGCAGCCAGTGGAGCTGACACAACAGGGGGGTGGTATGCTCCCTGTATGACGCTCCGGTGAGTAATCTGGCTGCCTCCCGCTGGACTAATTGAAGTTTCCGAACAGTCTTCAAAGGCAACCCCACGTAGAGTGTGTTGCAGTAATCTATTTGGGATGTAACAAGAGCGTGGACCACTGTGGCCAGATCTGGCTTCCCAAGGTATGGCAGGCATCCTCAGAGGTAGTGCACTTGCGGACTGCCTGTATAGAAAACACACACACGTATACAGATACACGCGCATGCAGACGCACATACACAGATGCTAATATATATATTAGTTTTGGATAGCATAGGGAAGGGCATACTGTATATACTGTATAGCCCCTTTTTTAGGCTGAAAAAGCCCCCCTCGACTTATACTCGAGTCAAGGTTATTTATTATTTTACTCCGTTATTAGTATTAATTTATTATTTAATCTTTTACTCTATTTGTAATTATTATTACATTTACTTTATTTTACTTTACGGGCGCCTCACCGGGAAGGTGTAAGTCAGTGTTTCTCAACCTGGGGGTCGGGACCCCTGTGGGGGTCGCGAGGGGGTGTCAGAGGGGTCGCCAAAGACCATCAGAAAACATAGTATTTTCTATTGGTCATGGGGATTCTGTGTGGAAAGTTTGGTCCAATTCTATCGTTGGTGGGGTTCAGAATGCTATTTCATTGTGGGTGAACTATAAATCCCAACAACTACAACTCCCAAATGGCAAGGTCTATTTTCTCCAAACTCTACCAGCGTTCACATTTGGGCATATTGAGTATTTGTGCCAAGTTTGATCCAGATCCATCACTGCTTGAGTCCACGGTGTTCTCTGGGTGTAGGTGAACTACAATTCCAAAAAACTCAAGGTCAATGTCCACCAGACCTTCCCAGTATTTTCTCTTGGTCATGGGAATTCTGTGTGCCCAGTTTGATTCAATTCCATCATTGGTAGAGTTCAAAGGTAGAGTTCTTTGATTTTAGGTGAACTATAAATCCCAGCAACTCCAGCATTACCAAATGACAAAATCAATCACCCCCAACCTCACCAGTATTCAAATTTGATGTGTATTGGGTATTTGTGCCAAATTTGGTCCAGCGACTGAAAATACATCCTGCATATCAGAAATTTAGATTATGATTCATAACAGGAGCAAAATTACAGTTGTGAAGTAGCAATGAAAATAACATGGTTGTGGGTCACCACAACATGAGGACCTGTACTAAGTGGTCACGGCATTAGGAAGGTTGAGAACCACTGGTGTAAGTGAAGGGCAGAGCAAGCTGCAGACTTCTGGAGTGCCCGTGGTATGGAAAAAAGAGATAAGAGTGGCTCTGGGCCCGGACAAACACACCTCTTTTACCTGTCTGGCCCGCCCTTGTATCCTATTACCGTCCCTCCTTCTCTGCCTCTCAGATCTCGCTCCTGAAGACTGCAGGTGCGCAGGCGCGAGATCTGAGAGGCAGAGAAGGAGGGACAGTAATAGGAAAATTACCATATTCAAATCAAATCTGATGCTTTTTAAATTTTTATTTGGTGTGTGTTGTAAGACGGGTAGTCTTATGCAGTGAATATATCCCAAACTCTATATATCAGGGGTCCTCAAACTTTTTAAACCAGGGGCCAGTTCACTGTCCCTCAGGCCATTGGAGGGCCGGACTATAGTTTTTTTAAAAAAAATCAATTAAAAAATTCCTCTGCACATGGCAGATATCTTATTTTGCTGTGTGGAAGGGTTCTTTCTCGCCCTCTTTAGGCAATAATTCCAGGAGCAGAGAATGGGAAATCTTCCTCTTTCTAGTCTGAACAAAATCTGGCTAACAGGATTTAAAAAAAAACTCTAAAAATTATTGTAAATAAAGAACAACACTCAAACACGGGGGAACTCCAGACAAGAAACAACCAGGGCCAGCTAATCACCTCTCAACAAAGCATTCTCCCTAAAAACGGTCAGGGTATGAAATGGTCATCAAGGTGGCCAAGTGAAACATTCATACCCACCTCCAACAGACAAGAGTTCTTTCTCCCACCCTGGATCTTCCACAATTGTCCTGGTTAAAGGTTTTCCTCTGACATGAAGCCCAGTCGTGTCTGACTCTGGGGTGTGCTGCTCATCTGCATTTCTAAGTCAAAGAGCCGGCGTTGTCCGTAGACACCTCCAAGGTGATGTGGCCAGCATGACTGCATGGAGCGCCTGGGCAGCATGAACCTGCCAAGGGAGGAGCAGCCTCGTGAGGTGCTTTACGCGCGAGTAGGCCACACGGAGCAGCTGCCCTTGGGTGGCTCACACTGCCCATCGGGCCTGACAGATAGCGTGAGCCAGCCAAAGGAGGGGCACTGTGTGTGTGTGGGGGGGTGCTCCTCCTCCACGGGCCGGATAAGTGCCCTCGGAGGGCTGGAAGTGGCCCGCGGGCCGTAGTTTGAGGACCCCTTCTATATATTAATTGGAAAAGTTGGGGGTCGTCTTATACACCCAGTCGTCTTATATGCATGGGTACATACATGGGTACATACAAATCCAACTTAAGAAGAAGCCATCCTAATGTTGAATCCTGGCTTGGGTGTGGCACGAACTCACTAGAGTTTTCTTTCTTTCCTCCGCCAGAACACGCCTCCCTGGAGAGCTCCTCCGGGTGGGTCCCGCTCCTGCTCTGCCTGCTGCACGAATCCACCGACACTCATTCCCGCTGGGCGCCTTACCTGTCCCTCTGGCCCGGCTTCAGCAGCCTGGACCTCCCCATGTTCTGGTAAGAGACGCGCGGTACTCTCTCCCATGCGTGTCCAGCCTCCTCTTAGGAACCGGCTCCCCATCTTTGAGAGGACAGGAGTATGTCTTCTCTGCCTCTCAGCCCTTCCTTATGAGCCACAGTAGAGGATGTCTCACACATACAGAATAGTTTTTAACTGGGTGTATATGTGTGTATCTATATCTGTATCTCCTATTGTGATTTTCCAAAGCCACACTCTCTCGGCTTCCGAGGAAAGCTGGGGCAAACTTCAAATATGCTTTAATGGTAATTATTTTAATTATTTCCAACATTTAATTTTTTCTTGATCAAACAGGCCTAAAATTGGGGATTCTGGAAACAAGCATACTTCTGTTAAGTGGAGAGCACATCTATTAATCTAGGTTCTTGTGGGGTTTTTTCGGGCTATAGAGCCATGTTCTAGAGGCATTTCTCCTGACGTTTCGCCTGCATCTATGGCAAGCATCCTCAGAGGTAGTGAGGTCTGTTGGAATTAGGAAATGGGTTTATATATCTGTGGAATGGCTGGGGTGGGGCAAAGGACTCTTGTCTGCTGGAGCTAGGTGTGAATGTTTCAACTGATCAAGGTTGTTGTAGGTTTTTTCGGGCTATATGGCCATGTTCTAGAGGCATTTCTCCTGACATTTCACCTGCATCTATGGCAAGCATCCTCAGAGGTAGTGAGGTCTGTTGGAACTAGGAAAATGGGTTTATATATCTGTGGAATGACCAGGGCGGGACAAAGGACTCTTTTCTGCTGGACCTAGGTGTGAATGTTTCAACTGACCACCTTGATTAGTTTTTTCGGGCTATATGGCCATGTTCTAGAGGCATTCTCTCCTGACGTTTCGCCTGCATCTATGGCAAGCATCCTCAGAGGTAGTGAGGTCTTTTGAAACTAGGAAAAATGGTTTATATATCTGTGGAATGACCAGGGTGGGGCAAAGGACTCTTGTCTGCTGGAGCTAGGTGTGAATGTTTCAACTGGCCACCTTGTAAGTTTTTTTGTGGGCTATATGGCCATGTTCTAGAGGCATTTTCTCCTGACGTTTCGCCTGCATCTATGGCAAGCATCCTCAGAGGTAGTGAGGTCTGTTGGAATTAGGAAATGGGTTTATATATCTGTGGAATGACTGGGGTGGGGCAAAGAGCTCTTCTCTGCTGGAGCTAGGTGTGAATGTTTCAACTGACCACCTTCATTAGCATTAGAAGGCCTGGCTGAGCCTGGGGGAATCTTTTGTTGAGAGGTGTTAAGATGTGCCTGGTTGTTTCCTCTCTGCTGTTTTGCTGTGGTAATTTTTGAGTTTTTTAATACTGGTAGCCAGAGTTTTTTAATACTGGTAGTTAAAAAACTCAAAAATTACAACACAAATATATACACACACATATACAAACACATATACACAGACTGGGCCACAGCAACGTGTGGCAGGGGACAGCTAGTATAATAATAATAATTGATACATGGCCGCTTTGAGCCTCCTTAGGGAGAGATAAAGAGGGGTATGAATAAATAAAATAACAACAACAACAGATACGCAGCTGCCTCTTTGGGAGAGATAAAGCTGAATAATAATAATAATAATAATAATAATAATAATAATAATAATAATAGATGGCCGCTTTGAGTCTCCTTCGGGAGAGATAAAGCAGGGTATAAATAAGTATAATAATAATATTTGTTTATAGAATCATAGAATCAAAGAGTTGGAAGAGACCTCCTGGGCCATCCAGTCCAACCCCATTCTGCCAAGAAGCAGGAATATTGCATTCAAATCACCCTTGACAGATGGCCATCCAGCCTCTGTTTAAAAGCTTCCAAAGAAGGAGCCTCCACCACACTCCGGGGCAGAGAGTTCCACTGCTGAACGGCTCTCACAGTCAGGAAGTTCTTCCTAATGTTCAGATGGAATCTCCTTTCTTGTAGTTTGAAGCCATTGTTCCATCGCGTCCTCCAGGGCAGCAGAAAACAGCTTGCTCCCTCCTCCCTATGACTTCCCCTCACATATTTATACATGGCCCATATCATGTTTCCTCTCATGCTTCTCTTCTGCAGGCTAAACATGCCCAGCTCTTTAAGCTGCTCCTCACAGGGCTTGTTCTCCAGACTCTTGATCTTAGTCGCCTCCTCTGGACACATTCCAGCTTGTCAATATCTCTCTTGAATTGTGGTGCCCAGAATTGGACACAATATTCCAGGTGTGGTCTAACCAAAGCGGAATAGAGCATGGGGAGCATGACTTCCCTAGATCTAGACACTAGGCTCCTCTTGATGCAGGCCAAAATCCCATTGGCTTTTTTTGCCGCCACATCACATTCCTGGCTCATGTTCAACTTCCTCCCCACGAGGACTCCAAGATCTTTTTCACACGTACTGCTCTCGAGCCAGGCATTGTACTCCACTTTATCTCCCCAAAGGGGACTCGCAGCGGCTAGACCTAAAAGCATTAGCCTACAATTTAAAATATACAAGAATGCAAACATTAAAATAGAATTAAACACAAAGAGCACTAAAAAAATTCACAATAAAAATCCATAAAAACAGTTTAAAAGCACAGCACCTCCTGAGTAGATCTTCAACACCTTAATCTTCCACTGCCGAACAGCTCTCTCTCACAGTTAGGGAGTTCTTCCTCGTGTCTATTTATATCCTGCTTTTTCTCTCTATAAGGCAGTGGTTCTCAACCTTCCTAACGCCGTGACCCCTTGATCCAGTCCCTCATGTTGTGGTGACCCCCAACCATAACATTGTATTTGTTGCTCCTTCATAACAGTCATTTTACTACAGTTATAAATCATCATGTAAATATCTGATATGCAAGATGTATTTTCATTCACTGGACCAAACTGGGCACAAATACCCAATGCACCCACATGTAAATGCTAGTGGGGTTGGGGGAGGATTGGTTTTGTAATTTGGGAGTTGTAGTTGCTGGGATTTATAGTTCACCTATAATCAAAGAACATTCTGAACTGCACCAGAGATGGATTTGAACCTAATTTGCCACACAGTGTTGCGGAACATACGTTACCCAAGATCATTTAGAGCACAATCAAGTAGGAAGGAGACGGAGACAGCAATTGATTCCAGGCAAATTTACTATCAAGGTTGATAGGACGTTCAGAAACAATATCTGAAGCGCACTGGAAGTCAGACAGGCTACAACTATTTCTAGCAGAAATCCACTGGTTCAGACATGCGTAGAACTGTCTTGACATTTACACAGTTATAATCATTAACAGAGGTCCTTTACGTATTGCCTTTAGCCCTACACCAAGATGACATGTTATAATGACGTACTTCTAATTGTTTCAAATCTTCATTATTCCCATAATCGTAGTTCACTAGAATTGATTCCTTTATAGAATATATCTGAAGTTGCCTGCTATTTACATCAACTGAACCAGCAGATGACGCCATCTGACCTTTAGATGTTCCAGCCTATTGTTTTACCTTGAGATTTACTTTAGTACACAGGTGTATCGTTTGCCAAGAACATTCCTTTGGCAATGACGACAAACACATCAATTACTATTGTTTCCCAAAATGTCAGGTTCCATTAATATTTAACTTCCTTGAGCCTAACCCATGAAGCTAAGTCAACATTCAGTTTCATCTATGGAACAAATCACTTCTCTATTGATTTTCCCTTTGCCGCAAAATTCTCTTTCGTTCAGTATTAGAAGGTAAGTTTTCCTATATTCATTTTAAATACATTTTTATAATTATTTTCTTGTACTGACCGCTACAACAGAACTCCCATGACCAACAGAAAACACTGGAAAGGTTTGGTGGGTATTGACCTTGATTTTGGGAGTTGTAGTTCACCTATATCCAGAGAGCACTGTGGATTCACGCAATGATGGATCTGGACCAAACTTGGCACAAATNATTGGACACAATATTCCAGATGTGGTCTAACCAAAGCAGAATAGAGCATGGGGAGCATTACTTCCTTAGATCATGCAAGACGATGCATTACACTCATAATAATAATCATGCAAGAAACTGCATTGCACTAATAATAATAATAATAATAATTATTATTATTATTATTATTATTATTATTATTATCATATAAGAAACTGTATTGTAGTACTACTAATAATACTACTCATTATCATCATTATCATGCAAGAGACTGCATTGCCCCAATAATAATAATGATAATAATAATAATAATAATAATAATAATGCAAGGAACTGCATTGCACTTATTATTATTATCATGCAAGAAACTGCATTGCATTTCTATTATTGTTGTTGTTGTTGTTGTTGTGCAAGAAACGTCATTGCATCACCACCACCATCACCGTCATCATCATCATCATCATCATCATCATGATTCAAGAAACTGCACCGCACTGGACTGCATACAAATCTTGCAAAGGAGGGGAAGGAATTATTATTATTATTATTATTATTATTATTATTATTATTATCAGAGACATGATGTTTTCCAGCATTTTCCCATTGATTTGCATCGGAATGACTTGTCCGGACCTTCCAAATTTCTTCAAACTAAGTTTGAGATGGATGGATGCTCTCCCGTCTGCCTCCTGCTCTCCTCTCCACATCTCCGGTCCTCTCTTACCTGCAGATGTGACATCCAGCGATACCTGATATAGTTGACACTGAACTGCAAAACATTGCGATGTTTGCTATAGATATGTATTTAAGCGCAGCATGTGCCAGCCGAGTTTGATAGACAACACGTATGGATGTTTAATATTTGACAGCTGACAGTTTCCTCCGTGTTCGATACCTGCTAGAAATCAAAACAACGGGGAGATGCCAGCAAGCGAAAACCACTCATCTTTCAACTGTCATGGCTTAAAAATAAAATGGCATTCAGGAAACACAAGATCTGAAATTGGGAGTAATTGGGAATATTTGTCAATGCAACACTCATATATCAACTGTCTTTGGTGTTGCTGCAAGAAGGTCCTCTTTGATTGTAGGTGAACTATAAATCCCAGTGAAAAGAAGCAAGGGAGCAGAGG